GGGGGGGGGGGGGGGGGAAGCACAAGCAAGGAAAACTGCATACAAGAAACGGGTTGCCCAAATATTCACTCAGTCTTCCAGGAGAGAAAATTAAGCTTATGTAACATATTTTCAAATGCAAGTAGCAATTCTTCTCCCCTACATCACAACACTGGAAACCTGCAAGGGGAACACTGAACTCCATTCAGTATAATGTAAAAGGCATGCCTCATTAACTCTTGGACATCTTCTCATTTCTTGGTCATAAATTCTATTACCTTGTATTACAAACTGCCATAAAACTCACAGATAAAAGATAATTTATGCTCAGTGTACAGAAGCTAATGTTTCTGTACTCCTGAGAAGCACAGCACCAGAAAATGAGAGTATGTATGTGAAACCTTAAGCCATTCATACTGAGCATGGGGAGCATGATAAACATGACTCTGAGGGCCTAATGTTCTTCGGCCAGGGTATATCCTAATGGTAATTGCTATTAGCAAAAATTTGAAGTATATAATGTATGGACAGTTGCATGTACTCATAAAGAATGATAACTCCCTATTAAAAAAAAATTCCCACCACAGAGAGAAATATGACCACACTTAAGTGAGGAGTTATTATGTATTTTTAATTTTTTTGCTTAAATCATTACATTGGAAACTGCTTTAAAAACTTGATGAAGCTTTAACTTAATCTCCCCAAATCCATTTGTAGCCGGTGAATATGACAGAATAGAAAAATAGAAGTTTCTATTATTACCAAATCTTTCATCTGAAGAAAACGAAGTTTACTATTAGCATCAGGCCTAAAAACATAGCTCTTAAACATAAAAGAAAAAAAAAATGTTTATATTCATTTTCAGGCAAGTAAAGAAGAGTACTGAGAGAATTGAACTGACCTAACCAAGGGTATAACATGAGTCATCAGCACTGTTGTTTCCTTGACCTAATTGTATTCACACTTCTACAAATTCATCTGCATCTCACAACAGCGCAGCTATGGTGCACTGTGAATAAAATAGTACTAAGGAGAGAAGCCCATTCTGCTAATGTGGCAACAATTTCCATTACATTAAAAATGTTACACACTTTCAGTAAGCATGCAGATGTGTTACAAGAAACAGGAACTACAAGTTCTTTTTGAAAACTTCCACTATCCCCTTATAAACCTATGAATTCTGTAATGAATTCTCTGTGTCTATTGCAACGAACTCTCAAAACTATTTAGAAACTAAAATTAGTGTAGACAATGTCAGTCTCCCTACCAAGTAGCTTATGTCACAGAGCACAGGATATCACTAACCTGGGATTGGAATCAACTTTCAATCTGGTGGTCTTCAGGGCATTAAAGAGCCATATTTCTGATCTGGGATTTGTGACCATGCAGCCAGTGAACAGGGACTGTTAACAGGGGAGCAGTTTGCAGGCTGTTGCTGGAAACAAGAGGAGGAAGGAAGAAGGAGGAGAGAAGCCAGGTCAGGCACCAGATCCTGCCTGGGAAAGGTAAGTGATCCAGCTGCCTGCACCTTTGGTTTAGCTGACTGTTTGTTTGGTGGGGGGTGTGCTCAGAGAAGCTGGGAGTGAGTGCTGACTGCTGAGTGATTGCTGACTGCTGTGGGATTGCTGCCTGGGCCTGAGTCAGCCCAAGCCCAGAAGGGTATAAAAGGAGACTCCCCAGGTGACCAGAGAGCCTGTGACCCAGCAAACAGAGACTGTCAACAGGGAAGTAGTTTGCAGGCCAGTTCATGGGTAGGAGTACACACCATGTAGGAGTACATGGGAGCTTCTGACAGACTTCAGGTAAGTGAATGAGGAGCGGGGCTACTATGGGGGTGGTGACACGGAGCACAGCTAGGGACCCTACCCTGCTGCTGCCTCCCCAGACAGGTCCCTTGGATGGGTCGGCAATGCCCTGGCCCCTGGTCTGCGGGGGGTTGCCTGGTGGGACCTCTGGGGCCTGGGAGTAGTGTGA